ATTCCTCTTTTCAATAACAGCTACATCATTCTTAAAAATTACACTGTAACCTGCTTTTTGAATATTCTTCACAGATATTAATTGACCGTTCAACTCAGGCACATATAACACATCTTTAAGTAATATTTCTCTTCCATTTAATGTTCCAGGTACTGTACCAATACCTTCTACCTTTAAAACATCATTTTTCGAAGCACATGCAACAGTTCCAGAAAAATGGTTTAATTTCTTCAAACCACTCACCTTTATTACACATGTGTGTAGATGCTCCAGAATCCAGAATGAAATTTCCAACAGGCTCGCCAACCATGAATGTTACTGCAGCCGATTCTCTGTAATCTGATTTATGCTTAAATCTGCAATCCTTCCTGTAATGCCCTGGGCGTCCACATCCAAAACAAACTAATTTTTTCTTGCAAAGCTAGGCAATATGACCTTTACTTTTACATTTGTGGCAGATGATATCACGCTTATCAGCGCTAAAAGCTACGTTATTACTTGAGCCAGAAACACGAGAATCGTAAGAATTTCTCTCACCTTGCAATTCTTCAGCAATTCAAGAGCCTTTGCATAACAAAGTCCAGCGTAAGCATTTCATTTGGCTGGTTCTCAATCGTCGATTTAATAATGTCGTACTCAGCAGGTAGCGACATCAACAAATAAATAATCACATCCATATCTTTGACTTCAGCACCCGAGAGTCGCAGTTCATTTACGATCGCCAACAGTTCGTTTAATATGTGACTGCATACTGCAATCTCGGCGTTTCTTCAGTGTCGATAATTTCTTTCGTACTAATATTTGACTAACTGCACTCACCTTATGGTATTTATTCTTTAAACTGCTCCAAATTTCACATGCAGAAGATTCACTCGACATGGTCGCCAATATGGCATCATCTAGAAGGGTTAGCAGCAATGCGTAAGCCTTTTTTGCATCTTTGATTTCAGCAACTTTCGTTTCATCCGCTTCAACGTCTAAATATTTATCAAGTTCTTTGGCTGCAAACACAGCTTCCAACACGGCGCTTAAACAGAGAAAAGTTTTTACCGTTAAACGGCTCAACACAATACTTTGTGTTCTCATCACGTGCTGCTCATTTCAAATTTCACTTAACGCGCGATTCCGTTCCAAACAAATAAGTTCCACAAAACAAATATAACTGCTTCGCCTCTAGCGTGTTCAATATCAGAACCACGCTCTGCTTAAAGATTTAAAAAAAAAAGGTGAATCAGAGGCCAATGATAATTAAGTAGAGGCTTTATTAAAAGATGGAATTTCACGCACATGGCACAGCACGTTTCTACATATCACACCATGACCAAGAACCACTACAACTGTTGCCAGATCAACCTAAGCAAAACTATAAAACAGTTACGGTTAAAATACATGACATTAAAACAAGAACGGGGAGTACGATTATTCCCAACACTTCATGAAGGACCAATGAATTATCTTGGATCACCAATTTTCACTTTCAAATAGACTTACCTGACAAATGTAATGATATTTGTCCTTTGACTGAGAAAATGGTAAAACTGCCACATTTATAACAGAACGAATCAGGGCTATTTAAGAATTTATGACATGAATTAGCAATGGTCGATATAAGGGAAGGTTTTAGTTCATATATAAATAAAAACTAAACACTGCTACCCTTGTATGCAAATAAGAACTCAGGCTCCACATCGGAATGTGCTTCCATGTTAGACTGAAATACAATGTCCCACTAAAGTATCTCAGGCATAACTGAACTAGTCTAGATAAGTCTGCACCTGTGACTGGTCTATGGTGTTATTAACTCGGTAACAGTCGGAGAGTTTATGTTAGCTAGTAGGAGAACAACAGTACTTCCTATGATCTATGCTGCTCAATTCCATGGAGTGTGGTCATATTCACATAAGGTATAGTGAAAAATAATTTGACGTGGTAGATGAAAACTAAGTGAATCCAACTAAGAGTTTTTTTTTTTTTTTTTCCTGCTTGCCCACTGTATCTCTAACCTTTAAATGACTTTTCTAAAAGTTTCAGAGTTAACTTTTACCGCAAATAGTTCTTCTAAATCTGTTGAATGCTTTAGAGTACTAATTTTTGGCTGTTTTTTAATTTTTCATGGAATAAATCTGCAATTTCTTGGTGTTAACTTCGAATGTGGTACAGACTTTAATGCATTTTCTATGATTTTACACAATTTCCATTATTTTTTAACATCAGCGATAGTTAAAACACTTTACATGAAGGAGTTTTTTTGATATTTTGGAGACTTTTACTATTGTTAAAATGTTGGAATTTCTAACAGAATTGGTCATTAATTAGTAGCATCTTGCCATGTTCACTTCAGTAAGAGGAATATTAATATATCTTGTCAAATGGGGTAACAATTTCCAAATATGGATGATAGTTCTTGTGATGTATTTTAATAAAAAAATATTTCAACAAGAAACATTGCCCACCAAAACATCTCAGCAAAAATTTGGAGTGTCCGAATTATTAATCACTTTTTAACAAGTTATTATATTGCAAGGAGTATTTAGATGGTATTTATTTTATAACAAGGTGTGCTTAAAATATTGAAAAAAATAACATCATAGAAAAAAAATTAAGTCTGTATTTCTGTATGTAATACAAGATTTATCCAAACGAATTTAGAAAGTACAAGTGTCAAAAACAAATATGAACCACTGTTTATATTTCAAAAAGTACAGTACATAATCATTTTAAGAAGACTGGGTATGTAAGCCATTATAATGTTATGGGTACCCTTACTTCTAACAGAGTAGAATATGTTTGTTTAAGTTCAGCATGTGATTCTGTGTTGAAAAGAAAGAAAGAAGCTTATTTTTTAAATAGCTCTTTTATGGACAAAAGGACGTAGGGTTACAGAAGTACTGTGACATTGCAAGAAAAAGATGGGTTAAGACAAAAGAACCTATTTTAACAACAGCAAAAGTTGGGCTGTATCCCAAAAAAGTTATGCTTTGTGTATAATGAGAATAGAAAGGAATTGTATGCTATGAACTCTTTCCACCAAATCAGCCAATAAATTTGGAAAAATGCTATTTGCAAATACAGCGCAAAGTCCGAAATCCGGACATCCATTATCCGGAATGATCTAAAATCTGACCTCAAAACCACCACCACCGTTTTTTCTCGTAGGCTTTATGCATGCACATTTGATTCCCTCTCCACGCATAATAAAACATCTGGAGAGTCCTGATTATTAATTTCACTTCGACACGAAATAAAATACCTTGTTATTGAAGAAACAATCATATTAGCATAAATATGTATGATCAGTAAGTTGGCTTCGTTGCTGTGTATCTGCTTGACACATATCTCAAACCAAAACATTCTACATAGATACATCGTTGATCCCACGACAACCTGACGAATCATTATTTATTATAGTTTCCTTTCATCAAGGCATGTTTATCAAAATATGACAACTTGTGCCAGCCCTCAATAAGGCTTGAATATGTGTGGGAATTTATTTATTCAGAACTCTGATAAGCCTTAAGCATCTGCAAGAAATAGACATAAGTATAATAAATAACTAAACTAATACAGTTCAGGCTTAATTGTCTCTGCACGCGATAGAAGCAAGATAAAATTTAACGGAACAACTTGTCGTTAGTCACCAAGCTTATGATGCATAGCTAAATTTGTATAGTGAAGGATAGCTAAATTTGATGATGCTAATTTTAAAGGTTTTCGGATGTCGCAAAACAAAGGTGAAATTTTCCAATTAACGGATTTTCTAAAGAAATGTGGAAAAGTGGTAATAAATGAAGATGATATAAAAGAAGTTTTTTATTGTGATGACATTGCTCTTCAATCATCAATTAATTAATGAATGGCGAAATTTGTTGTATGGTTCTAGATCCATAAAATACCTCTACCATTAGTGTGACAAAGAAGTTACTGAAAACGAGAAAATTTTGATTGACAAGTTAGTCGGAATTCTTGAAACAGCAATTACAAGACTTCAACAATGTAACTAAACAAGAGATTATGTCTGTCTTCAGAATTAAAAAGAAAGTATCATCACAGAAAACGAAGCAACTTAAACAACTTACATTGAAAGAAATGTTTAATAAGGTAAACAAATCAATATTAAGCTTTTTTTTTTTTTTTTGGTAAATTTTGATACTCTTTAGATCATAAATACTTCAGTATTTCATAAATCATGATTTCATATTTTTAATTTTATAATTATACATGCCATGTTACTAGATTTAAACTGATGATCTAATATCCGGAAAAATCCCCATACCAGAATCGCTGAACTCCCGACGAGTCCGGATTTCGGACTTTGTACTGTATCAGTTTTAAAAGTAAAAATTGAAGAGAAGCATTCAAAATCATCATCAACGAGATGTTATGTTGCATCATGACAATGCTCAGCCCCACATTTTGATGGATGTCAGAAAAATACTTATAAGTTATAGATGGGATTCTCCATATTCATTTATATATATTTTGTCTCCTGGCATTTTTGTCTGTTCAGATCACTTCACTATTCTCTGAAACCCTGGAGTTATTTTCTTTGAATACTGTCAAGCAGCACCTTTATTAGCAGCAAGCCTTGTGACTTTTTTGAAAAGGAATTTTCCAGTTGCTGAGGAGATGGGGGGTGGGGTCATAAAATGGCACTTATGTGATTCAATGAAATTTTCTTACTGCTTCATTTCTGTTAACTATTTTAAAAAAAGTGAGAGAGAGATAACTTTCCTGGTGACCCAAGATCTAGCTTATTAAATACTAAAGAAAAATTCTCAATTTTTACTTCAGTTTTTTTCATTAAGAATCATGTAATATTTCATACAGTAATTAATATTTGTATAAATATTAGTCTATAATGTTATTCACAGTTAATATAGCATCTAAATTTTATGTAATAAGTAAAATTTTCTGAAGATCCTACAAATTAAAATAACTCTAAGGTCAATGTTTTGATACACAGAGTCTCTTTGTAAATGTTGTAGTTATTTATTTTACAGGGTGATTGTGGATCTTGCTGGGCTTTTTCATCAACTGGTGCATTAGAAGCCCAAAATAAAGCCAAAAATGGTGTTTTGATTTCTCTAAGTGAACAAAATCTTGTTGATTGTTCTTGGAAGCAAGGTATGTTAAAACTAATATGAAGTGCATTTTATCCCTCTTATTGAATTTATGTATATTTAAGATAAATTTTGTTCTTGATCTGTTTGTTAACAGATATCGAGTTGGCAAATCTAAAAGTTCATCAAGGAATGTATGCTATAAGAGTGATTGTGAACTGTTCTCTGGATAGAACTATATGGAGCAAATTTAATCTTTTATTGACCTTTAAGTGTTTTGTGCCCCATTCTTGTATTTATATGTATTTTGATGTGACCAAAAAATAACTAAACACACATGCTTGGTTATAAAAGAAGTCAAGGGTGTATATAAAACGTTAATAAATGAGAAATCCATTTTGTCAATTTAAAACCAAGTTTTTTTCCCCCTTCCCCCCTTTTTTTTATTATTATTTTTTTTTTTTACCGTGTTACAGAAAAAATGGTGTTTATATATTAGCACAGCTATCTTGGCACAGATGATTTTTCCCAGAAGAAAAGACTTATAAGTAGGGAAAAAAATTGATTATATACAGTCAAAAGTCGTTAATTCGGACACCCATAATTCGGAATGATCTATAATCGGGACATCAAAACTAAAAACTTTCTGCGCATACGCCACGTTGACACATGCGCAGAGGCGTTCACGCGTGCGCGTAAGACCTTTTACGACTGCGCATATGAGTGTGCGCAAGTGCAGAATACGTTTTCGCGTGCGCATTTTATGTATAATGGACGTATAAGCTAAAATTATCTATTTCAGTTAATGTTGATGATTGCGTTGTTCCTTAATTTTCGAATTGCATCCGGCTTATTATTTTTTGCAGACTGTAAGAGCAATTTTATAAAAGTAAGCTTAAACTTTCGATTATATCAAATAGAATTTTCGATATATATTTGTTAATATGTAAAGGATCTAAAGCGAAAGTATGTTTTGAAATCCGAAATCTGTTTATCAATTTCACGCTGCTCGGCGGGGGGCGCCTAATGAATTGGAAGTTGATTTGTCAGCACTATCCTTATCTTCAGCGCAGATGTTTTTATTTTATTTGGCTTATAATTCCTTACCAAATGTAGTATTTCATCTCGATATGCTCCGTCTTTGATATGATTTAAAACAAGTTCCTCGTCATTATAATTCGCTTCCGATAGCGAAGAAAAGTGACAGAGGTTATTGAAAAAAAAAAAAATTTCGATTGACAAATTAGTCGGTGTTCTTGACACAGCAATTATAGGACTTGAACGGCGGAACTTTGTAACTGAACAAGAAATTATGTCTGTTTAATAGAATTAAAGAGAAAGTATTATCACATGAAGCGAAGCAAAACTTATAAACAACTTACATTGAAAGAAATGTTTAATAAAGTAAACAAATAAATATTGAGCTTTTTCTTTTTGCAAATTTTGATACCCTTTAGATCATAATTGTTCTCTATTTCATAAATTACGGTTTCATATTTTTTATTTTAGAATTTCTGCATGCCATCTTACGAGATTTAAACTGATGATCTATAATCCGGAAAAATCGATAATCCGGAATCGCCGAAGTCCCGACGAGTCCGGATTAACGACTTTTGACTGTACATGTTATTACATATGTATTTTACAATTTAATTAGGTACTTATATAGAAAACCGGACTCAAGATCTCCTTACAAGTGGGTTTTTATTTCTTTGCTCAGGTGGAAATTTTTGTGAGGATCATGTTAGAAATAGATTCTAAATAACTATTTTCATAAATTTATGGTGGATATAAGTTAGTTTCACAAGATTCATTGTTTTAATTTTATAGCAAAATATTGCACATACTGTTGAATTCAGATTATCTGAAACTTCGTATACCATATTTGTCGGCGTATAAGATGCACCCCCTTTTTTATATACATTTTTAAAGGATCAAACTTTATGATGAATTTTTAGTATTTTAAAAATAAAGTAATACTTTCGTCAAATACCCAATCTGTCTGGGAAAGAACACCTTTTAATCTTCTTCATCAAAAACCCAGATACTCATCTCCAGAGTTAAATGAAGAGTCACTTGAAACCTCTTCTAAATCAGCATCTTAGTCATCATACAACAAATTGTCCTCTGTACCATCCAGTGTATTACTAATGCCACACTTCTTAAAGGATTTAACCACTGTCCCTGTTATCACAGCATCCCATGAAGCTTTGCCTCATTCATGAACGAGGTATTGACGTATAAGACCTATTTTCAAAGGAAAAAAGTGCATCTTATACACCGCCAAATGCGGTATTTAGAACATTATCATAGATAAGTTGTTGGTCTTCCTAGCTTAATTAAAATTAAGTAAGCTTTAATTTTATTAACATGTTTTCAATGCTTTCATTAATTCAAATAATATTAAGAAACACTAAAATTCATATCTTTCCAAGAAATCATCAAATTTAAATAAATTTGTACTGGTGTGTAGGTAATTAGGCTAACAATGTTAAGCAGATAGATAAACTTTGCTTTATTGGATTAAAAATATTATTGCCTAATCCAGAAATTTTCAGACTATTCCTTAGTTAAAGACCACTTTTATAAGTTAGAATGTTCTGTGAGACCCCTTACTTTTGTTCCCTTTGAAAGCAGTTTTTAAGCTTATGCCACTGACATACTTACATTTTTAAATACAGTTTATTAAAATTCATTTAGTTATGTAATGGTATTAAGTAATTAAATTAAAATATATATATATACAGTCAAAAGTCTTTAATCCTGACTTTCATAATTCGGAATGATCTATATTCCGGACCTCAAAGCTACAAACTTTCTGCGCATGCGTAAATGCATAGCATATACCTTTACGCATGCGCATAATACGTTTACGCATGCATTTTTAATGTATAATGGACGGTGTAAGCTAAGCTAAAATTATGTAATTATCTATTTAAGTTAATGTTGCAGATTGCGTTGTTCCTTAATCTTAGAATTGGATCCGGCTTATTATTTTTTGCAGACTGCTAGAACAATTTTATAAAAGTAAGCTTGAACTTTTGATTATGTCAAAAAGAATTTCCGATTCTGAAGCTGCGAAAGGATCTACAAAGCGAAAGCTTGTTTCGATGTCCATCAAACCAAAAGTAGAACTGCTGCAAAAAATGGATAAAGGCATATCCTTTGTTTCTCTAACCATTCCGAAATATGTTTACCAATTTCACGCTGCTCTGCGGGGGGAGGGGGGGACCTTGCAGTGCGCAATGAACTGGAAGTTGATCTGTCAGCACTATCCTTATCTTCAGCGCAGATGTTTTTATTTTATTCGGCTTATAATTCCTTACTAAATGTAGTATTTCATCTCGATGTACTCTGTCTTTGATATAATTTAAATCAAATTCCTCGTCATTATAAATATCACAAATACACATCAAGTAGTTTTCTGGTTGCAATTTTCTAATTTTGACTATGCATAATATATGCTTTACGCTTGCGCACATTGAAAGAAATGTTTAATAAAGTAAACAAATAAATATTAAGTTTTTTTTTTTTTTTTTTTTTTTTTTTTTGTAAATTTTGATACTCTTTAGATCATAATTGCTCTTTATTTCATAAATTACGGTTTCATATTTTAATTGTATAATTTCTGCATGCTATCTTACCAGATTTAAATTGATGATCTATAATCCGGGAAAACTGAGAATTTGGAATCGCCAAAGTCCCGATGAGTCCGGATTAAAGACTTTTGACTGTATTTGTTTTTAATAAATCAAGGTGTTGGATAATCTTTATCTTATTAACTAAAAGTTAAATAATTATTGGTGCTCACATTAATGAGATGGATGAGTCTACCAGTTCTTACATAGCTCTTCTATGTTTGGATGTATGCTGGTAAGAAGGACTACAGTCATAGTGCTTTAAATCCCTCTTTTATAGCTAAGGCTAGATTCAGATGTCCATAAGCAGGGTGATCACTAATAAATTTCATAAAAAATCTCTCTTGGGAGAAAACATGAGAGATCATTGCCATGTGTAATTTTTAAACTGTGAGATTTTCGGCTATTATTGTAGTACAGATAAAAATTTCAGACTGGAAATTACACAGTATATTATACACTGTTAATTGAATTTTACTTATTTATTTATTTGTCTTTTTTGGAAATCTAGGAGGATTTCAAGGACCACAGATTGAGAAATGGTGGCGTAATTGTAATTATAGGGAGAGATAAAAATCAAGATCATGTATTATCATTTTGGGCATATGTAAATAGCTATGTTGTTTTTAAATTGGAAAAGTTGTGTATTAAGGAAAATATGAAAAATTTGTTGTTTAAGTTTTTTTTTTTTTTTAAACACAAGTATTTTATTTTTGTATACCTTAGTTAATATAAAATATGATAAATGAAAAAGTGTTCTCACATTATTATAAGTACAAGCTTTATCTGTCTTATTACAGAAAGGAATGAATATCAGATTATCAGTATTGTTCAATATTCAGTTGAGGTGCAGTTTCTGTTAGTCCATCTTTTTAACTGTACCTAAAAACTGAACGTGTGTTACCTAACATCAGGCTATCCAGGAAAAATTTGGACACCCTTGTAAAAATTTCTTTAGTACACAGAACTTAATTACTATAATGATGACTACAAATAACATCTTAGGGTGTCATTTTAATCATATGTTCAATCATATTATTGTAATAATATATTCCTGAAATATCAAAGATGAAATGGATTTCTTGTGTGAACAAATGTGGCTTCTTACACTTCATAAGTCAGGAAACCTGGTACAGATAGCTTGAGAAGATTTGTACAAGGTCACTGGATGAGAAAATGGTCTTCTATTACATGGTTAAGTAATTGTTCTATAACTTTATGGCAGAAGATTACCAAAGTTTGAACAAATCCTATCCGAGATCTTCATTTACAAGGATAGAATTATTTTCCAGTCTGATGAATGACAAGAGGTTATGCATTGTGTTCAACATTCAAACATTTTATTATAAATTAAATAAAAAATTTTGTCCAAATTTCCATATGACAAATTTACAATAAACCATAATCATAGCCACGAACACGTCTTGCTCAGCCAATGCCTAAACTGCCTTGCTCAGCCAATACGTCTGCCCCGGACGTACATACTACCATTTGCCCAAATACTACCATTTGCTTTGTGCTGCTACCAGTGAAATTGTTCGCAAAGCTCTGGAATGCAACACCACAATGACCTTGCAGAGTATATGAAAGAGGATACTATTTCAGAGAAAACTGGGAACGAATTGGAGAAGGGAATGTTTCTGAAACAGTGAAAGTAATGACTTCGTGGTATTTGCTCATGTTTCTTGAGTAAAATGTATTTTTTTTAATTCTGTGTCTTCTGTTTGCTGTTTGTAGTAGGTGCTGGGAATAAAGAAAGATATGTCGGATGTTTCAAACCCACTTATCGTTTTGAATTATTTTTTGATGACTGCTCATGCTTCATATTGTTACTGAAACTAACCATTTTGCAGACCAGTATATGAACCAACATCCTGCAAAAGAAAAATCGAGAACAAAATTGTGGCATACAACCAATCCAGAAGAAATTTTTTTATAGGTATACTGATTTTACAAGGTATAGCACTGAAACCTGATATTGCACTTTACTGGTCTAAAAATAAATTGATCAAAACTCCATTTTTGGGGGGGGGAGGATTGTTCTTATTATCTTTTCTATTATACAAACATCGTTTTTGTTATACTTTTACTCTAAAAATTAAATTTTGTGCTTTCATTTTTTTCTCTATGTTGTGAAAGTAAATAGTTTTTAGAAAATAAAACTTGCACTTATTTTCTCCCAATACATCACATAAGTATGCGCGCCTGTGTGAAAAACGGTGGCACTGGGGAATGAATCTTGCAAGTTTTTCGCTGCAGTTAAGGGGTTAAAGTTTAGACACTGCTGAGAAAATATATGAAATTTAAATTATGCAAATTCCATTCTCCCATTCCAAATGATTTTCAGCATAAATTTTCATATTAAATTTTATTTTATCTTAATCTATTTCATATATCTGTAAGCTTTACTTTACATCAGTATCTGGCACATTGCTAAGTTTATCCACATGTATGAACATTAATTATTAATTTTATTTTCATTGTAATTAAAAGTTATTTGATAAATTAAAGCTTTTCATCTCTTGCGATTTTCTTGATATAAAAGTGTCAAAATGAAATCATCCAAAGAATCTTTATGGGATTCCCTTGTCCAGACTTTGAGCATGAAGGTGCTCTGTCGGCTCTCTGCCTTGTTAGCTGAATCATCTATCGCAGTGGTCGTCAACCTAAGTAAACAAAATTATCAGATCTCTCAAACCCAAAAGATGCTTAAGGTAGCGATGCAGTCAACAATCAGATGCTTAAGAAATGCCGTTCAAAACTATCTACAAACTCGCATGTATTCTTAACGCCTGTTTCTACAATCAGTACTTTTCAGTCTTCACTGAAAAGTACTGATTGTAGTACTGATTGAGTCTTCACAGTTCTTCTAGAACTTCACTGACGACTACATAAATAATTTTAATACTTGGCAGACCACTAATATGAATTAAAAAAAAGTAAATGCATTTATGCAATAATAATCAGCAAACTACACATTTTTCGTTCACATTGAAAAATTACATGAAAAGTACCAAAATCTTACCTTCTTGTACAGAAAGCTTCACATTTTCATATCACTGAAAAGGAACTTCATGAAAAGCAAGAATAAACTGGCAAATGCAAAGCAATTTCAATAAACTGACAGTTATGTCATCAATTTTTTATTATTGTAAACATAATAATCATCACTTGCTCAGCAATGGTGCCATCGATGAACTGTTAGACAAAAAAAAAAAAAAAAAAAAAAAAAAAAAAAAACTTCCAGTGATGCAATTATAAATAAGAATGCAGATAGTTCTCATAAAAATCCATGAAGATCCCTTTTGACATGGAGAAAAACTGTGTTATTAATGACCACAATAGAACATGTTTGTAATTCAAAAGGAAAGAGAATTCCAGTTTGCGCTATTATTGATAACAGCAGCATATCCATGGAAGCCAGCTCTCTTTTTCAAATATCATGAGATACACCTGCAAAAGTATCTAAAAAGTTGCTAAATTCAAAAGGAATTTTGCTAAAAGTAGTAGCTAAAATTTTAAGAAAAGTATAATCCATATTTCATAGTAGGTTTTGTTACTTGTCATTTTTTAAACTGAATCTTCATAAAAATATAAATAATATCCTAATTTTTCTGCAGATCATCAAAAAATTTTCACGGACCACCGGTTGGCAATTGCTGTTCTATCACATTGGTTTTGCCTTGTATCTCACTCTGAAAGGTTTGGATTCCTGAACTTCGTTTTCTAAGTTTCTGTAAAAAGGCCTTGTTGTTTTTGTTGTCGTGTCCATATCACATGGAACAGTGGTTGCCAGAGCCTACTCCAAAGAGAGGTTTGTCTTCTATTTTCCACCCTTAATTTTGAGGGAGAGAATCCAACAGGGGGATCCAGGGGTCTCCAACCCCTCTCCACTCCCAGCAGTCCGCACAAGAGGACTTTCATCTAGTTGCATGTTTAGAGTGTCGCAATGCCGCACCGACACTATAAATTTACAAACATCTATGTCTTCTCCGGGATTCAAACCGGTGCCCTTTGGTACCATAGTAGGCTCCCCTAACCACTATACCATCTGAGTGACAAAAAGGCCTTGTGTGGGATACATATGCTGAGGATTGCAGATTTTTTCGCGTGCTTTTGCACGATTGTACTTTGATTATTTTTTTACTTTGAACGAATCGAAAATGACATTTGTAAAGCAAATCCTTGCTGATTATATGGACCTCAAGGAAAAACGGGATAATAATACCCTGGAAAAATTTGAGCTTACGTTTCTCCAGCTGACACAGAAATTCATCAAGCTCATTGCTGATGAATTACCAGAGTACCAGGAGAGGTTTCCGGAATTATACCCCTCTTCTTCTACTAATGATGCTGATAAATGCAAAAATGAAAAAGAGGACATGGACTTTCAAATTGTTTGTAACAAGCTTTGTAGCCCCCCCCAGGTGACCTAGCTTGCCAAATAACAATTGTTTCGCTGCGCTTCCTGATGAGAGTGATGGAACCCAGGTCAACGAAGTTATCGATGGCCCTCAGAAACTGGCCAAGAAAAAGAATCGTCGAAAATCTACGAAGCAGAATCTTAAAACTCTACCAGAAAGACTTTTTATAAACTCGCAAAAGCGTAATCTACAGCAAATCACCCACCAGAAGACTCCGCCAAGGAGATTGCTTCATCTCAAGCCATGTCCCCCATGCTAACTCCAGCGAACGAAGAAACTCTGGACAAGGATGTGATGAGATATTTGAGAGCTTCTGCCTGGAAATCTCTTACTAAACTCCCAGATGACTCGGGTTACAGTGATTTCAAGGCCCAAATAAAATCCCAGCATGAATTTCATGTAAAATTATTCACTATTTAAGCTCATAGACTTGTTACTGCTTTACTTGATAATAAACATATTAAATTCCACTCCTGTCAACTCACTGCGGACAAAAATATGTAAAATAGTGATATGCAGTCTTCCCGTTGATACGAATATCACCAAAATTGCTTATGCCCAGACTGAGGAGGGCTTTCAAATTAATAAAGCAATCCAGATGATGTGCAGGAAAGGACCAGAAGTTGTCAAGATGCCACTGTTTCTGATTATCCTTCCTAAAATAAAACAATCCAGAGAGATTCATCACATAAACTTTCTGATGAGGCTAGGCATCAAAGACAAAAACTACAAAGGATGGCATGAAGTTACACAGGCCTTTTTTTCACACTCAAAATCAGTGTAAGCATGCCCTTTTCTGTGTAAAATGCAGCCAGGACCATGAATCCAAGGATTGTAGCTGTTGCCACTGTAGACTATCATATAGAGCAAGTTACAGGAGTTGTTCTTATTTCCCAAAACCATGCTCCTCACTTGTTCAGAGTAGTATAACCTGTGTGGACAGAGTAATAAACAACAGTAATATCCCTGCTGTGCCTGCCACACCAGCAAACCCTCAATTTGTGGAATTACAGAAAAAAAAAAAATAGACAAAGCTAATGCTGTCATTGGCAAGCTAACTGCTGCCTTGACTATGTTCTCTGGAATTGCCAAATCCATGCCTTCTTTGCCTCAAACAGAATCTCCAGTTATGTCCACACAAGTGAATTATCGATAATTACCACTTCAGTGTTTCTCCAATTAAGATTCTTTTGTGGAATGCACAAAATGTTGCTACCAAGATTCCTGAACTGCAGCACTTCCTCACTGAAAATGATGTGGACATTTTCTTAATTTCCGAAACGCATGCAAATCCTACACATAATCTGAAGCTTGCAAAATAATGTACATACCGTTGTGATCGACTCCATCATAGTGGTGGTGGATCTCTTATTTACGTTAAAAAATTTTAGAAGCCTGTTTTCAAAGTGTAGATTACTCACCAGGCAATGCCAAAGCAATTCTAAAGTTACTCAAAATAGGCCCTGTTACTTTCTGTGCAGTGTAGAATAAACCAGGTAATTGACTTATGTCAACAAATTTGGGTAATCTACTAAACTCTGATTTCTCTGTTATTCTTATGGCGACCTAAACAGAAAACATTGCGATTGGGATTGCAACAGATCAAATTTTAACAGCCAAGTTGTGCATGATTATGTGAATAATAATCCCATATTTATTCACTTCTCAGATGAGCCGACTTACAGACCAAATATGTTAAATTGAAGACATGATATTTTAGACCCTTTTATTTCTACAATTAATATTCCAGTGCAGTTATCTATTTTGAATGAATTAACTTCAGATCATGTGCCTGTGCTAACCTATCTTGGCATTAGCACCACTAAGGACACCCCCCCCCAGTTCAAATCACTGACTGGGATTTATATCACAATATTCTCATTACTTCTAATGTGAATTTTGATAATTTAAAATCTCTTGAGTGACATTGATCATGCAATAAATACCTTTACTGAACATCTACATAACGCTCGTGCACGAACTACCAAAACTGTGGATCGCAACATATATGAACAACAGCTCCCCAAGCACATCGGAGAAAAATCACTGCTGTTTTCAACAGATTGTGTAAAGACTTTAATCGAACTTGGTATCCAGCTACTAAGACTGCCATGAACAGATTAAATTGATGCATTAAGCAGCAGATCCAGCCATATAAAACAAGCATCTGGAATAGGAAAATCAAAAAACTTGATTTGAATAGCAGCTCTTTTTAGAACTATGTAAAAGTGTTCAAGCGGACTGGTTCCTGCAACAAACCCATCAGAAATGAGAATGGATTCACCTACACAGACGAGAAGAAATCTGAACGCTTCGTTAATCACCTGGCCAAACAATTTTCCCCAAACTCCTTTCCTGGTAATCATGAAGCTGACCTGCAAGTAACTGATTATGTGAATAGATGGATTAACTTGCCTAGTGTTATGAATGTCGCAAATCTGGTGACTTCATTAAGTAAACAAAATTATCAGATCTCTCAAACCCAAAAGATGCTCCAGGTAGCGATGCAGTCAACAATCAGATGCTTAAGAAATGCCGTTCAAAACTATCTACAAACTCGCATGTATTCTTAACGCCTGTTTCTACAATCAGTACTTTTCACATGCGTGGAAACATGCAAATATCTTTCTCATCCTGAAACCTGGAAAAGAGCATGAAAATCCGGCGAACTACAGGCTTATAGGCCTGCTGTTAATTATCAGCAAAATTTTTGAAAGGCTCATCTCATCAGATTGATCAACAACCTTCAGTGTTTAGCGGAAAGTGGATTCCGATGACATGAAAATCGTTTCCAAGTCGCGTCTACTGGATTATACTCTGGCCAAGCTGCAAGACAAAATTCCAGCCATAGAAAAATGATGTGGTCATTGGAAAACCAGCATTCAGCCCACAAAATCTAAAATTCTTCTCATCAGGAAGCATCATAGACTCGATCAAATTAAAACTCAAGTTGCCCTTTTTGACTCCCCAATCCCAAGCTACCTTGGAATTATCTTCAATGTACTTTCTCATGGAACAATCGCATGACCCAGGTATGTCAAAAGGCCTGCAGAATCATGTTCAGACTTTTTCCACTGTTAAAATGCGAACAAATTTCTCTGCTTCTGAAAAAGAGATTATCTTACGGTAATTGGACCGATTCTGACATATGCTTCCCCTGCCTGGGCAAGTGCACAAAACAAGGACTACAAGAAACTTTAAGTCCTTTAAAACAAGTTCTTAAGAATAATCACCGGAACTCCCTACTTAGTCAGAAATCGTAGTCTGCACTCGGGACTTAGAACAAATTCAAGAATTTATTAATCACTTCAATGAAAAATTTGTCAGCAGAGCAATTAGCTACAACCTGGATAATTTCGCCAATATCTTAAGCTATGAAATATTTGACGAAGGTAAACTTCTTTGCCCTTTTGCTGCTCACTTGTTACAGATGACCTATATTGACCAATGAGAGTTCAGCTTTGAGCTCATACTGACTTAGGTTTTACTAAATTAAATTTGATGCTTTTATGGATTATTTGTGAAATTATGAGCCTACTGTGCATTTATATATGTTGTCCCCAATTTTGGCTACCAGAGGCCAGTAAACTCAGTGTTTTGATTGTTTGCCTAAAAGAGCAGTTTTAAAACTTTGTTGCTGTACATAGGTTATCCCATATTATTTCAACCTGTTATTTACTCAGCAATCACTACCACTTATTTGCTTTTTTGTCAGAACAGGTATTATTTTATATTGTACATAGAATTGTTTTTTTATTTTTCTGCATATATGTATTGTTTTTCATATTGTACAGTAGTTTGCTAGCTCACCACGTTTCAGATTCGATAAACCTCATCACTTATTTCCAGCCAGCTTTCCGCCCTTCTTTTATGTTTCAATGTTAGCAGAGCTATTAAAAATGCAGTATTTAGTATTGTAGCTAATAGATGTGTATGTGTGTGTTTATGGTTGCAAGTAATAAATGTTTTATGTGAAATATAAATTTTAAATTAGCTTCAATGAATAATAATGTTCTATTTTCTGGTATCCATGTAATTTTTTTCCCATTGTACATGAATTTTACAGTGTCAGAATATGTGACATTGTAAAATATTTACAAGCTGAGAATATTTATTTAAAAAAGGGGAATGGGCTATTATTAATTAGTAATATAAAATTATTATCAGCTTTAAACTGAATGTCAGAATTGAATTAACTGCTATTTCATGCAGGTAATAGTGGGTGTGATGGAGGGTGGATGGAGAATGCTTTTCAATATGTAATAGACAACAGAGGTATAGATACAGAGAAAGATTATCCCTACATAGGAATGGTAAGTTTTGCTTCAGTCTTTCAGCATTTGTATAGAAACGTTCAACATATATAAGTAGTTCTCAAAATAAAAGTATTCTGACTATCTGATCATTGAATAACATTGAATATTTACAATAAAAATTAGGAGTATTAATTTAGTTTTGAACATTGTGCAGACTAGAATAAGTGTACCATTTTAAATACAGTGAATATTAACTTTAGAAAAAATGATTGATAACAAACTTTGATAGGATTGTATGATTTTCTTTTTTCAGCAGCATACTTATTACAGTCAAAAGTCTTTAATCCGGACACGTCGGGACTTCGGTGATTTCGGATTATTGGTTTTCCCAGATTATAGATCATCAGTTTAAATCTGGTAAGATGGCATGCAGAAATTACACAATTAAAAATATGAAATCGTAATTTATAAATAAAGAGCAATTGTGATCTAAAGGGTATCAAAATTTACAAAAAAAAAAAAAAAAGCTTAATATTTATTTGTTTACTTTATTAAACATTTCTTTAAATGCGTGCATGCGTAAAGCATACATTACGCATAGTTGAAATTAGAAAATTGCAGAAAACTATTTGATGTGTATTCGTGATATTTATAATGACGAGGAAATTGATTTAAATCATATCGGAGTACATTGAGATGAAGCACTACATTTAGTAAGGAATTATAAGCAGAATAAAATAAAAACATCTGCGCTGAAGATGAGGATAGTGCTGACAGATCAACTTCCAGTTGATTGCGCGCCGCGACGTTTCCCCCCACCGAGCAGCATGAAATTGATAAACAGATTTCGGAATGGTTAGAGAAATCACCTCTCTGCCACTTTCTTCATGCCATTATCCATTTTTGCAGCAATTCCACTTTTTGTTTAATGGACATCGAAACATGCTTTTGCTTTGTAGATCCTTTGGCAGCTCCAGAATCGGAAATTCTATTACATAATCGAAAGTTCAAGCTTACTTTTATAAAATTGCTCTAACAGCCTGTAAAAAATAATAAGCCAGATCCAATTTGAAGATTAAGGAACGACACAGTCTGCAACATTAACTGAAATAGATAATCAGATAATTTTAGCTTATACCGTCCATTATACATTAAACGCGCATGCATAAGTGCACATGCGTAAAGGTATCATGCGCATGCATAAATGTATATGCGCATGCGTAAACGCATTATGCGTTTAAGCATGCACAGAAAGTTTGTAGCTTTGAGGTCCGGATTATAGATCATTCTGGATTATGGACGTCCGGATTAAAGACTTTTGACTGTATACTCGGAATGATATTTCAGATTTAGATCAGATGTTATAAGATGTACAAATAATATTCCACATCACTGGAAGCAAATGTAAAATTTATTACTTAATTAAGGAACAGGCTCAAAATTATTGGTAGAATTTTCAGGTTTTGATGAATTTTAAAAAAATCAAGGGAAAATGTTTATTCAAAATAATAATAATAAGAAGAAGAATGATTTTGGAAAAAAATTACTTGTAAAGTGTACTTGAAAGATTTAGGAAAAGTATTCTGGAGTTAAATATATTTTGATTGTAAATTTCATATTTTGTGCAAATTTCCAAAGTTCCTGTTTAGTTAGAAAAATGCTATAAATTGACCAAAAATTAGAATGATATTTTTAAAAATTTTAATTGTAGGTTTAATAAGTAGATGTACAGTCTAAAGTCGTTAATCGGACACCCATAATCCAGAATGATCTATAATCCGGATCTCAAAGCTACAAACTTTCTGCGCATGCGTCGCTTTTGTTGGCTTTAGTTTTCCACATGCAAATTTTGATCAGAGGTCGATCGGCGGTAAGCTAACGTGGTTGCCGCTGATTGGCCGATGACGTCAAGATCGGCGGGTTGGCCGAGTATAATATATATGTACTTTGGTATCGGCGAAGTTCTTGTTTCTTGTTCTCTTGTGTGATTATCAGTTAGCATTATGCTAGTTTGCTTTCAATCAAATGATTTTAAATGTAAAGGCTACAGTGTTAGCTCTTTTATTTTATTTACGGAATAAAGCATGAATTTTATTTAGTTTAGTCTTAGCTTTATTTAAGGAAAGCAAAATATGCTTTGCCTTTATCACTACCAACAGGGTTATGGGCCACTACCAACAGCTAATCAGTTATCCAGTTCAACTCAGCATTGAAGGAATGTAGGTGAAGAGGGCCGTTATCCACGAAAAGAAGCTGACCTGTCGTAGAAGTTTGTTCAAGTCGTTGTGCTCACAATTAATTGAAGATGTCATTACTACCTGAAGGTTTTGAGTTGTTAAACCATGACAACTGGGATCGATGGAAAGTCCACATGAAAATGCTGTTACTGGATAGAAATTGTTGGAGCTTCATAGAGGACAAAGAAGAAGAATTAGATAAAAGTGCAACAAGGTGTGAAAAGCAGGAGTTCACACTGAGAGAGAACAGAGACTTCACTACATTATATTACGGAATTAAAGCTGAGTTCAGGCCGCTAATACAAGAATGTTCAAGTGGTAAAGAAGCGTGGGAAGTTCTACAGAAGCAATTCGAACCCAAAACAAGAGCAAGGATAATTCAGTTACTGGATGAATTTTTTAGTATTAGATATACACCAAATGAAGAAATAGGATTATTTATCGCGAGGATAAGAATGACTGCAAAGAAGTTGGCTGAAGCTGGTCACAACTTGGAAGATCTTTTTAAAGGATTCCAGGAAATAAGGAGATTACCCCAGGAATACTCCGGCATTGTACAGTTGATATATAGGTGGAAGGACGAAGATTTTACGCTGGAAAGAATTGCTGAAGAGCTGGTAAGGGAAGAAAGCCGACTTCGCCAGGTAATTGCCGATTTAGAAGACAGCAAGGTAAGCGTGTTTAATACTATTAGTTTAAACGCAGGGAAAGATAAAGTTGAAAATAAAACTAAATCTAAGAAAAAAATGGGGAATATGAGAATAGGACCTTGTTTCAGATGTCATAAATTTGGGCACTTAATTGCTCAATGTAAAGAAAATGTAAGTAAAAATCAGAAGTTTAAAATAGATGATAAAAATGGACAGTTTAAAGATAAAGAATTAATGTTAGTAGAAAATTATGTAACAACTACAGATAAAGGAGGTAACGCAGATAAATTTAATTGGGTCATAGATACTGCAGCTACAACTCATTTCTGTAATAATAGAAATTTAATGACAAATTTCGAAGAAATAAACGATATACGTATGTCTTTAGCTGTAGGAAATTGTGAAAGTAAAGTACTAGGAAAGGGTACTGTCAAATTTGCAGTAAAAGTAGGCAATCGAATAAATTGGATTGAGTTAGATAATGTGTTATATAATCCAAATCTAAGAAGAAATTTATTATCGGGAGCAAGGTTAGAAAAGGCTGGTGCTCATTTTGTGATTTCAAAAGGGAAGATGTGGATATACTTTAATAATTGGGATAGATTATGCTACGCTAAACGATATGACGGACTTTATCACGTAAAACCATTTAGATATGCAACAGGCAAAAGGGAAGCTGGTTACGGTACAGAAATTGGAAAGTTAAATAAAGTAGACGATGCAATGCTATGGCATCGGAGATTTAGCCACGTAAATTTTGATTATATTAAGCAAACTAGTAAGACTTCAAAGCGTGAAAGGATTACCAGAAATTGAAAAACCAATAGAGAGGTGTAAATCGTGTATTATTGCTAAATCTAGTAGAATAACTTTTAAATCTGTTCCGAAGAGATCGGATAAAAAATTGCAGTTGGTTTATTTAGACGTTTGTGGCCCACTACCAGTTCCATCTAAGGGTGGGAGTAAATATTTTCTTGCTATTGTAGATGACTATAGTAGATTAGTAACAGTGTATTGTATGAAAAATAAAAACGAATCGTTCTACAACTTTAAGAATTATCATAGGCAAATGGAAAGACTGACGAATAGAAAATTAATAAGTATACGCACCGATAATGGTGGGGAATTCTGTAACAGGCAATTCGAAGGGTACTTAGCCGAAAATGGAATTAGTGTTGAACGCACGAACGCGTACACCCCAGAAGAGAACGGTGTGTGTGAACGTTTTAACCGAACGGCATTAGATGCAGTTAAAGCTATGCTTAATGATGGTAAAATGGGAAGAGAATGGTGGGCAGAAGCTCTTGGCTGTTTCGTACATACGTGGAACAGAGTATGTCATAAAAGCAACTGAACCCCTTATGAAATGTTCCTAAATAGAAAACCCAGTGTTGTTTATTTTAAGGTATTTGGTTGTAAAGCCTATGTTGGCGTGCCAAAACAGATTAGGAATAAATTAGAAATGAGGTGCAAGGAAGGAATCATGGTAGGATATGCGAAGGAAACTAGGGTTATAGGATATGGCTGCCAGAAGAACGCAAATTAATAGAAACCTGTAATGTGAAGTTCGATGAAAAACTGTATGCAGCAAATGGCATCCTGGAACAGAAATCAAAAACCTAAATTTAAAAGACTAGAGGAATCTGAGCTATTAGCAGAATCAGATGAAGAACAGGAAATTTCTAGAGAAGAAATAAAGTTGTCAGATGACAAATCTACTCCGAAAGAAGTATCAGACTTAAACTGGCAAAGAAAAGCAGTTAAAAGGCCAGATGGAACACGTACAGACATATATTATTATGTAGAGGGAACAGACACCCCGTTTTAGATCCTATAATGATATTGAAAAGTATTGTGAGGCAAGAAATATTAAATATTGAAAAAGATAAGTTCGATTTTAGTGGAAAAAACGAATACTCGGGGAAAGTTAATTTCGTAGAACAGGAGACTAGCTCTGTGTCTGAAGAGGCAAATTCCGTAGAAATAGTTATCCCACAAAATTTTAAAGAAGCACGAAAATCAGTAAATGCCGAAGAATGGGATAAGGCAATGAAAGAAGAAATCGACACAATAAAGAAAAGAAAGGTTTGGGAATTAGTCGAAAAGCCAGAAAATAAAACTATAATAGGAAACAAATGGGTCTATACGCTAAAAAGAAATGAAAAGAATC